AAAGTCAGGCATTAATGGTATTAGAAGAGAAAACTGAACCCAGCCACAGTGGTCAGAGGTGAGGCCTCTGGACAGGGTCAGCGTTAGAGAAGGTCATTAGGGAAGAGCCCCTGTGATCGAATCTTGGTGGCTTTGGAGGAAGAGAGACAGAGACCAGACCATGCAGGCACACACACACATCATCTCCTGCTGTGTGATACCCAGTGCACCCTTGGGTTCCACCAGCAAGGTCATCATCCCAGAATCCAAGCCAATGGGCCCGGCCAGATCTTGACCTTGAACCGTCCAGCACCATGAGGAAAACAAACCTCTTTTCTTTATAAAGCTACCCAGCATCAGGTGCTTCACTATAGTAATGCAAAGCTAACTAACACAAGTCTCCCTCTCCTGTGTGTCAGGGGGAGGTCTTTCCCGTGGGACTTCCCCAGAGCCCGCCCCTGGGAGGTGTTCACTCTGCAGGCACAGACTGCTCCTCTCAAGCAGCTCACAGATAGGTAGTAGCAGCTCCAGCCCCACTCTGCATCCTGTGTCTCACATCTCCCTACTGAACCTCTCAGGAACATGTGCACCAGCCGCTTAGTAAGCAGGACGACCGTTCCTCTGATAAGGGGCCTCCCCAACATCAGCCTTAAGAGTGACAGATGAAAAAAAAAAAAAGTGACAGATGAGTCCATTGACAAAGCTGTTTGAAAGACAATGCCTGACACTGGTGAACACACCCATTTCCCCTGGCAAATTGTGCAAACAGACAGGACTTCTCATCAAATCAGTTTGGCAATATAGATCCAGAACCTTAAAACATTTATATCCTCTCACTTAATAATTATACCTCTGGGGCCAGGGATTTAGCTCAGTGGTTTCGCCGCCTGCTGCACAAGCACAAGGACCCAAGTTTGATCCCGGTACAAATAATAATAATAATAATAATAATTATACCTCTGGGAATTTAGCCTAGGGAAATAACACAAAATCGCTGTGAAAGTGTTAGGCAGAAAGATGTTCATTGCTCTTAATAAAACAAGAAAGTATTTCTCTTGTACTATTAATAAAAAGTTGAGGCTGGAGGTGTAGCTCAGGACAGTGTTCCTCTAGCATGTGCAAGGCTTTGGTTTGATCCCCCGCACCGAAAAATTGAATGCATAAAGCTATAGATATTCAGTGTAACTGCATTTATAATTGTAGTACAAATAAGCATATATATAGCCGGCCATGGTGGCGCACGCCTGTAATTACAGCACTCAGAAGGCTGAGCCAGGAAAATCGCCATGAGTTTAAGGCCAGCCTGGGCTACACAGTGTTCATACTTATGAACAAGAACCTCGTCCCAGCATACCAGTAGATACCAGGTATGCTGGGATCTGGGATTTGGTCTGAGTCATAGGCTCACCCTGGTGTCTGGGGGACACGGGTGCTGATCATAAAGAGACAGGCCTGTTTGCTGAACAATCAACAATGGCTCTCCATTGTAACATGGTGAATCAGGCTCAGCAGCCTTGAAGGATGAGTACAATTTCACCACGTCAGCCAGGGAAGGACTTCAGGTTAAACTGGCAGGTGAAGTGTGCAGTCTGGCTTCACTTGCTGACATGACTAAGATCCCTGGGAATGGATAAAATCCACGTGGACAAGGGGCAGGAAGGAGATGATAGCAGCAAAATGTTGGAGCACGAAAGACACAAAGAAAAATCAGTGGTTTCCCAGAGGGAGGCCGGGAGTCGAGCAGACCACGCAGCAGAAGCCTGGAAAGTCACACAGCCAGGGGCACCGGGCATCAGCAGCCAGGAGGGCTCCATAGTTCCTTGCTCCTGCTCTGGCCCAGCCAGTTCTCCTTGAGCCCAGGAGAGACTGGAGGTTTATTCTGGAGGATGCACCCCAAGGGACTGAGCCAGAGGCCCCAAGCAGGACGAGGGTGGTTTAATACCCCCAAATCGTCAGTCTGCAGGGTAACTGAGCCCCTGTCCTCCACACAGCTTCCAGGAGGCAAACAGCTTCACCGTCCGGACAGCAAGCAGCAAGCTCTGGGAAGACACCAGCCAGGTGAAAAGGCCTACAGGTGCCCACACCTGGGTTCCTCCCGTGACAGCCGATTCCCTGACTGATTATTCTAGAGTCCCCTGTAAGACCCAGAAGCACAGTCCTTCTTACCACACACACACACACACACACACACACACACACATGTGCGCATGCGCGCACACACAGTCAGTCCCTTCACGACTTGCTCTTAAACATGAACAACTCTCAAGAATCACCAAACATTTGAGGACAGATTCTGGCATAAAAGATGCAGACAACACCCTGGGAGGCTGAGGCAGGAGGATGGAAAGGCTAAGCCCAGCCTAGGCAACCTAGCAACTTAACAAGACCCTGTATCCAGTTGAAAAATTAGAACGGGAGAGGTAGCTCAAGGTGAAGGCCCTAGGTCCATTCCCTAGTGCAAAAAATGAATAAATAAATAAGGACACAAACAGGATAAATAGGACTCAAAGGAAACTGAGCTGACGGTAAACATGGGATGGTCAGAGCCATGAGGAAAAGGCTCAAAGACACGCGAGAAAACATAACCATCTTAAAACAGGAACAAGTGACTACTGAAAAATATTCAGAACTCTGGAAGGTTAAAAATACAGAAAATAGGGCCGGGGATTTAGCTCAGTGGTTCCGCCACCTGCCTCACAAGCACAAGGTTCCGAGTTTGATCCCCAGTACCCAAAAAAATAAAAAGGATTTTTTGAACACTCTTAAATAATAGGCTTACATGGCAAAGTTAGGGAAATCTCTCAGAAAGTGGAAAAAACACAAGTTGGAAGAAATAAAAGGAAAAAGAGTTCAAAAAAAAAAAAATGAAGGGAAAGAATCATGGCAAAAGACAATTTGCCTGAGTGGAAGTCCTGGAGTCCCCAAGTTGGCAGGCTCTGCTGGTGTTTGAGCCGATGGATGGAGACCTGGTTGAGTCAGTGTCCCACACATGGCTCTCCAGCCTGCCAAAGAGAGAATGCAGAGCTTCCGGGGCAGAGTGGAAACAGGATGGTACAAAGGATGTACAACTTCTCAGAGCAACACCAGATGCCAAGACCCTAGAAACAACACCCTAAATCCTGAGGGAAAACAACGGCCAGCCTAGAATTTCACACCCAGCCAAACTATCTCTCACAGTCTCCGGGTCTTTCAGACATGAAAGATCTTGAAAAAGTCAATCCCTGCGAATCTTTTCTTGGAAAACTGCTGGAGGGTGTGTTCCACTAAATGAAGGGAAGAGGGAGGCATAGGATCCAGAAAACTGTGGAAAAAAGAAGTGATGCCTAGGATGATGGCGGAGGCTCCCAGGGTGACAGGCAGGCTGCAGGTCCAGTGAGCACCCAGGACAGACTGGAGCAGGAGGACAGAGGGCTGCAGAAGGGGCATCCTCAAGAAGCTGAACTGATGGCCACCCCATGTGTTAATTCACTAAGAGAAGATATAGTGCAAGGGCAATGGCAGACACCTATAATCCCAGCCAGGCGGGAGGATTGCAAATTCGTGGCTAGCCTGGCCAACTTAGCGAGCTCCCATCTGAAAACGAAGAACTAAAAAGGGTGGATAGGTGCACCTCAGTGATTTAGCATTTGCCTAGAATGCATAAGGCCCTGAATTCAATCCTTAATACTGTATTAAGAGGAGAAAAAGAGGAGCCAGGCATGCTCGTGCAGCCCTGTAATCCCAGCATTCAAGAGGATGAGGCAGAAGGATCATAAGTTCAAGACCAGCCTGGGCTACATGGTGAGACTTGGTCTCAAGGAGAGAGAAGGAGACAGAGACAGAGACACAGAGAGACAGAGGAACATACTTGCAGCACTGAATTAGGAAATAACAAATGACAGGTACATAGAAAACTTAAGCAGGGCCGAGGATTTAGCTCAGTGGTGCTGCCGCCTGCCTTGCAAGCTCAAGGTCCCGAGTTTGATCCCCGGTACCAAAAGAAAAAGAAAACTTAAGCAAATTGAAAAAGATATATTTGTTCCAAGGAAACGTGGTTTAACTGTGAACAATATGGAAATAGTCACAGTAATGTAAACATTAAACATTTCTCTAACCAAAAATGTGAATATAGAAGAAGGTGGGAAGAAAGGAAAGAAGACAGGATCGAGGAGGGATGGTGCCGTACGTAAGAGGTCTGAATGCCCATCTTGTAGCCCAAGAGGATAAGCAGTTAAAAGTACAACGTAAGCCAGGCGAGGTAGCACACACCCATCATCCCAGCACTCAGGAGGCTGAGGCAGGAAGGTCAATGAGAGTTTGAAATAAAACTGAAAGATGAAGAAAAGGTCCTGTAGGCCCATTATGCAGAAGTAAGGAGGTGAAGACCAAAAGAAACGGGTTGAAAGGGAAAGGCGTGGGACCCGGCTTGGAGATGGGTCTTTCTCTACGCACACAGGCACGAAGGTTCTGGTACTGCACAGACGTAATGCTGTTGTTTTTGATTTCAGGTTTTAAACTATGGGAGGCATCCAGGAAGAAGGAAAGGGGCCGAAGAGGTGTGGGCCACGCAATTGGCCAAGAAGGCTGACTCACGGCCCCAGCAAGGGCAGAGGCGAGGGCAGCGGCTGACCTCACACGGGGGGAGGGAGCCACAGTGGGCTGCAAGCTGACCTGGACCACAGTCCGGTTAGCGGGCTCCTGGGGCAGACATGGGTGTGGCAAGAGCCCTCGGTAGTGGCGGGCTGTGCCCTCCGTCCGGGAGAGAGGAAGCTGCTGAGGAGGGGCTGCTGAGTCCTAGGGGACTCACTGGCAGAGGAGACAGGACTGACAATGCACAATGCGGAAGAGGGCGGAGCTGGTCAGGTGCGGAGGAGGAGCAGGCCGGGAGAGGAAGGCCCAGTTCCCGGGGACACAGGGACCCCTTCCCCAGGACAGTCTGTCACCTTCCCCTCCAGCACCAAAGCCACTGTGTGCAGTGCAGGAGACAGAGTCGCTCCCGAGCTCAAGTTCTGAGCCTGTGGGTGAGACACGAGTCCGCTTCCTGTCTGAACGCGTCTTCACCAGGTGCTCGGCCTCCCTGACCCCCTGAGCCCGTCAACCCCAGATGAGCTGGGGAGGGAACGGCAAGAGCCCCTTGCGGGTCCCTTCCTGAGTCCCAAGCTCCCCAGTGGAGGACCAGAAGTCTTCCCCAAGACCTCCGGGCTCTTCTGAGACAGCCTCCCTCTGCTGCACCCTCCAGCTTCCAGAGTCTCCCTGCCAACTCCCCCCACGTCAATTCCAGGACAAGACACTGATCCGTTTGCATCAACTAGAAGCAGCTTTATTAGCCCGGCACCAGCGGAGGGGAGCGGGGAGAGCGGGACTGTGCAGGGATCAGGGTCCGCCTCCGGCCCTGTGGGCGGCTGAGGGCTGCAGGCGGCAGGCAGCAGGCGGCTCAGTTCCGGGAGCTCTGGACCTGGCTGAAGCTGGCTGAGCTCTGCTCCTTGAGGATGGGCCGGGGCTGGCGCGAGGTTGAGGATGAAGACGAGGACGAGAAGACTGTGGAGACAGGAGGGGGGTGAGCAGGGCTCTGGGGAGAGCGGCTGCCCCAACCCCGCAGGGAGCCAGGATGCTCACCTTCCCTGGACGAGTAGGATTGGCCCCCGGAGATGCTGCAGGGAGAAAAGGGGGTGTTAGGGGTGCGGGGAGCGAGCGGCGGAGGAGGGGCCGAGGGCGGGCACTCACTGGGCGTCCTCGCCCTCCAGCAGGCGGCGGTAGGTGGCAATCTCCTGCTCCAGCCGCGTCTTCACGTCCAGCAGGATCTTGTACTCCTGGCTCTGCTGCTCCATCTCGCAGCGCAGCTGGGCCAGCTGCTCCTCCACGCTGCCGATCAGGCCCTGGATCTGCGACAGCTGCAGGCAGTAGCGGCCCTTGGTCTCCTCCAGGCTGTTCTCCAGGGATGCTTTCTGTGAGCAGGGACAGAGGGGGTTCAGAGGAGGCAGCCATGCTCGCCCCTCCAGGAGGATTTCCCACTGAGAACACGGGGAGGGCTACTCCTCCACAGGGGCCTTAGTTTCCCCACCTCTGCCGTGGGTCTGTTGTCCCTCCGGCCCCACTTCCGGGGACGGGGCTTTTCTGGGCCTTCCTACCATGCTGAGCTGGGACTGCAGCTCGATCTCCAGACCCTGGAACACCCTGCGGAGCTCTGAGACCTCGCTGCGGCCACTCTGGATCAGCTCGCTGTTGGAGGCCACTTCCTTGTTCAGCTCCTCGGTCTGGGATGGGAGTGAGGAGCGTGAGGTCCACAGCCACCCCCGGGCAGCCTTGCTGGAGTGCGAGGCCCCAGCCCCACCTTTCTCAGGAACCAGGCCTCGGCCTCCCTGCGGTTCTTCTCCGCCATCTGCTCGTACTGGTCGCGCATCTCGTTCAGGATGCGGCTCAGGTCCACGCCGGGGGCTGCGTCCATCTCCACACTGATGTCCCCGCCAGTCTGGCCGCGCAGGGCCAGCATCTCCTGGGAAGCGACAGGGGGCAGTCAGATGGGCGAACCCCTCTTCTGGCCAGGGCAGATGGGTGACTCCCCCCAAACCAGCCTGGCCTCCCCAAAGCCAGCAGCGCCCACCTCCTCGTGGTTCTTCTTCAGGTAGGCCAGCTCCTCCTTCAGGCTCTCGATCTGCATCTCCAGGTCCGAGCGGGTCATGGTCAGCTCGTCCAGCACCCTGCGCAGCCCGTTGATGTCGGCCTCCACCGTCTGGCGCAGGCACAGCTCGTGCTCATACCTGGGGCACAGAGTCGGAGCCTCAGCCCGGTCCTCGTGGTTCCCGAGGACAGAGAGGCTGCTGGCCCTCAGGTCCCCGCCCTCTGCCCTCCACCGAGCGCCAGGGCCTCTCACTTGCTCCTGAAGTCATCGGCAGCCAGCCTGGCATTGTCAATCTGCAGGATGGACTGTGCATTCTCCATGGTGGCCGTGATGATCTACAGCAGGGACAAAAGGACAGGGTCAGCAAGGACCCTGCTGCTCCGGGGCGAAGAGTGGAGAGGGGGAAAGGAGCTGCCCAAACCTGGGTGCCACCCAGCCGGCAGATCAGGTCCGCACTTCCTGGGAGGGTAAGACGCCCGGTCCCTGACATCCCCACCGCCCACCCAGGGCCACGGCTGCAAAGCTGAGAGCAGTACGAGGAGATTCGGGCTTCCTGTCCCACACCAGACACAGGGTGCTAGAGTGGGACCCTTGGCTTCTCCCCTAAGGCACCTCGGTCTCCCCATCTGTAAGATGGAATTGTTGCAAAGAGGTCCCCAGGGCCACTGCAGCAGAGCTGCCCACCTTGCTCTTCAGCTCCTCAATGGTCCTGAAGTAGGGGCTGTAGTCCTTGATCTCGCTGGGCCGCTGCCTCTGGTACCAGTCGCGGATCTTCACCTCCAGGTCGGCGTTGGCCTCCTCCAGGGCGCGCACCTTGTCCAGGTAGGAGGCCAGGCGGTCGTTGAGGTTCTGCATGGTCACCTTCTCGTTGCCAGCGAGGAGGCCACCATCGACACCACCAAAGCCACCTCCAAAGTTGATGCCAAGGGCACCACCGTATCCTCCACCGAAGCTGCTGCCGCTGCTAAAGCTGCCAGCATAGCCGCCCACCAGCCCGCAGGCTCCCCCGGAGGAGAAGCGGGAGGAGGAGACCGACAGCCCCCCGTAGGTGCTGGGGCCCCGGCAGGAAGAGACACGGCTGGAGCCGCCGATGCCGCAGGAGCCCTTCATGGAGCTGGACGTGAACTGGCGGCTGCAGGTGGCCATAGTGCCTGGGAGAGAGGAGAGGCAGTGAGCAGTTAGCACCGATGGAGAGACAGGAGGCAGTGGGCGCTGAGGGTGCACCGCACGCCCGGTCCTTTATATGCGCCGGCAGGGCGGGCCCCAGTGCTGACTGCAAGCCCGATTTCATCACTCATCCCAACCAACTCCCCACTCCGGATTATTCAGCCCAGGGCCGACTCACTGGACTCACTGCACTGTGCGCAGCTCGAGTTCCCACCCAGCTCCAGGGTTGGGGCCGAAAGCAAAACACGCTCACCGGAGTCGGGTGACTCAGGATGGGTGGCTGGATCGGCTCAGTTCCTGGAGCCCAAGGGGACAGCGGGGCCTTGCGAAGGCAGCAGCGTCCCCGGGCAGTGAGTCAGCCATCAGCAGGCCCGGCAGTGCCCTTCGCTAGAGCTGGGTTCCCGAGAGCGCCCCGCTCTGTGACCCGAGGGCTCCCCCTTCTCTCCCCAGGCCTGTGTCCCTTCCTTCCGTGGTGACAAGGTTGGCAGGTGGATCCCGGAGTCCTTTCTGGGTCTAAAAGTGCAAAGCCCCTTTGCCCTGCAGGTCCTAATCTGGGTTCAGGGCCCCGAGCTGGCCAGCCGAGTCTGGGAGTGGTTCTGGTTGTGGGAACAGCAGCCCCTGTGGGCCCTGCAGCCTCGGCACCCCAAGCAGGTCTGCGCCCCCTTCCAGCTGAGCAGCACCCCAACGCCTGCCCTTGTGGAGGGAGAGAGCCCTGTCCTGCCACTGGCACTGCAGGTGATGCCAGCATGGCCGCAGCTCGCTTCCCCGCTGCTCCTACCTGGGCCCACAGGACTGCTCTGTCCCTGTCATCTGGGAGGGGCTACAGCTCTGTCCCCAGCCGAACTCGGGCATTGCAGTCCTGGACTCCGCACGCTGCGAGGTCCTGTGGGGGTGCATTGCTCCCGGCCCACAGAAGGGGCCAAGAGGCTCCACGCCCCAGCACCAGCCCACCCCTCCTGTCACGCTGTGCTTCCCTCCCACACCTGTCACATCCGTCCTTCCCCATCTCCATAGCAGAGATTAACCCAGGGCCTCGTGTGTCCTATACACGTCCTTTTCTTGACATTTGTTTTTTGTTGTTGTGTTTTGATTGTTTTTGGTACTGGGCATCAAACTCGGAACCTTGCACTTTCAAGGCAGGCGTCAGAACCACTGAGCTAAATCCCTGGCCTCTTGACCTTTGAATTGGCCCTGCAAGTGAGGAGGACGAGGGAACCAGAGAGGAACAGCAGTGCCCTCAGCCACAGGCTGCAGAGCTGGGCTGAGGCCCAGGCTCCCTCCCGGCTCCTAGGATGCCTTGCAGGGGGAGGTCAGCTAGTGCCTCCTGCCCCCTCCCCGCAGCGCCTGGTACAGCTCTGCCCACCATAGCTCAGCTCTGCCCAGGAGCCTGGCCCAGCACTCGGGACTGGAGGGATGGGGAAAGAAATCAGGACACGGGGCCCACAGACAGAGGCCCAACCACAGGCGGGAAATGACCATCAAGGTCACCCAGGCTTTCCAAGCGCAAGGCCGAGAGAGCAGGATTTCCCTGGGCTAAGGCTCATGGAAGAAGACAGCAGAGACGCAAGCCTAGCTCTGACTGCTAAGCCAGGGTCTGAGGGCGTGCTCCAGGGTCTCTCCGTACACACGCACGCACACACACACACGCACGCACACACACACACTGAGGCCGCACACCGGCCAGCCCTCAAGGTCTCCCCAGCAGCCAGGCCACACCCCACTCACTCTCGCTCGCTGTGGCCAGAAAGGAGAGGGAGACAGGTGTCTGGCCTCAGGACTTGTCATTTGACCCCGGAGAGAAACCACGGCCAGGAGCACTGCACTCCTGCAGGAAAGCCCGGATGCCTACACCCCAAGGGGCGGCTGGGGGGACCTGAGCCACCAGAGGAGGGGCGAGCCACTTCCTCCATGCCAGCAATGCACACCTGTGCCAAGGTGTCAAGGCCAGGACCTCTGAGCAGGGGCGTGGGGGGCACAGGGCACAGGCTCATGCCGGCTGACACCCCTCCAGGCACCAGGCCCCTTCCTCTCCTTCACCCCACCCCTCTCGCTGTGAAGTCATGCCTGCTTGGGCCTGCTCGGAAACACTTGGCCAATGCCAGGCCTCCGCCCGCCACAGTCCCCGAGTCTGACTGGTCACCCCCTGCTCCCTGTGTCAGCATGGCCCAAGACAAGCCCAGTCATGGGGTTGTTTTACCAGCTCTCCCGGGATTCCCCCACTGGGCAGGCAGGAGGCAGCCCCGGGAGCAGGGGCTGGGGTGCAGCACATGGAGGGGACAGAGAGGCTGCAGAGCCCTCGGCCCTAGTGGGCCCGGCCAGAGCCATGGAGGAAGAGAGAGAGAGAGACTCGCTGAGCAAAGGACCAAAGGACTGGGCAGCAGGGGCCAGAGCCAGGGCCGAGGCTTGGGCAGCTGTTCAGCCTCTCCCGACCTCAATTTCCTTCCCTGGGAAATGGGCTAACAGCAGGCAGGTTAGAGGATCAGAGAGGAAGAGATAAAGCTGCCAGCAGACTGAGGCCAAAATTGCGTTTATTCAACAGATGAGTATAAGACAGCGCCAGGGGCCAGACTCTCAGACTCAAGGAACAAGGCAGGGAATGTGGTCCTGGGGTGAACTGTGTCCACTGTGAGTGCCCTGGGCCGAGGCCTGGGTCCTCTCCTTCTCCTGGATGCAGGGCCACCCAACCCGGAGCTGTGCATAGGACATGCATGACATTCCCCTGCCAGGGAGTCAGCAGGGAGCCGAAGCGTCCCAGGGTGGTCACTGCTGGCTGGGGCCTGCCCTGTGGATCAGTGTGTGCCCCTCACAGAGAGGGGTGACAGGGCCTCGGGGGCACTCAGAGCTCTGGCCAGGCTGATGGGGGCTGGGGGTTCAGGTGAGCAGTGAGCCCATCCATGGGATCCAACTGCTGTGTCCCATCCAGAGGCACAGCATGACATGTTTCTGGTGCTGGGGAAGAAGCCACATAGGCCCCGTGCCATCCTGGGGACCCTTCAGGGTGACAGACACACAACTGCCAGAGAGCAGGGCAGGGTAGAAGTGGAGCCAGTGCCTCCTCCCAGCACACGCCAGGGTCCACCCCACCCTGCTCTACCCCGTCACCCGGGCTCAGGAACGACGCTGAGTCACCACCCCACAGAGCCACAGTGTCCCAGCCACACAATGAGCCGCCCCTCCTGACCCTCCTCACTCCCTGGGACCACAGTTCCCTGCAGTGAGCCCATCCCTTGGATGAGCCACCTGCAGTGCAGCTCAGGCCTGGTCCTGCTGGTCCTGGTTGACAGTGGCAGTGGGGCAGGCACGCCCCACTCTCCTGCCTCCATTGCAGCAGCCCCAACAGCTGAGGGGCTCTGCTCCAGGGGCCTGAGGCCTGGAAATCCCTGTGGCCCAGCCAGGGCAGCTTGTCTAGCCCGGGGGCCCCCATCATCCCACATTTCAGTCTGCACCTTCCAGGGCCCAAGACTTACCCAGGTCCCCACACCCCAGAGGCTGGGGCTCTTGCCCTTGGTCCCAACTGCTCGACTCAGCCTCCTCTGGTCCCAAGTCCCCGTGCTCTAGGCCTAGGGGCTCTGGCTGCTTCTGCATCCCTGCTTTCACCCCACACCACCTCCAGGCAGCAGGAGAAGGGGAGAGGGGTCTGACGCGATGACGAGACCCAGTCTTGCGGTGGATTGGGGAGAAAACATCCCCTCTCCTGACCCCTGCTGCCATAGTCCCAGAGAGACAGCAGGAAGACGGCTGCCCTGGAGGCTTCCGGATTTACTCGAAGGAAGATTCCAGGCTTGGGCGCCTCGATGACTCATCACCCACAGCTGCCAGGCAGTGACTCTGAGCCTAACCCTAGCCGTGACCCAATCCTACCCTGAGCCTAATGCCTAACCCTAACCCTATCCATAATCCATGACCCATTGCCCTGACGCTAACGCTAATCCTAACCCCAAGACTAAGCATAAACCCTGAGCTCTAACCCTAACCCCTAACTCTAGCCTTAAACCTTCACCCTAATATCCACACTTACCCTGAGCCTAACCCCAAACCATAACCTATGATCCATAAACCTAAGCCTAATCCCTAAACCTAACCCTAACCCTAACTCTAACCCAACCCCAACACCAAACCCAACACAAAGCCTAACCCTAACCCCAACCCTACCCCTAAGCGCAACCCTAACCCTAACCCTACCTATAATCCATAACCCATTACCCTGACGCTAACACTAACCCTAACCCCAAGGCTAAGCATAAACCCTGAGCTCTAACCCTAACCCCTAACTCTAACATTAAACCTTAACCCTAACATCCACACTTACCCTGAACCTAACCCCAAACCCGAACCCTATTATCCATAACCCTAAGACTAATCCCTAAACCTAACCCTAACCCTAACTCTAACCCAAACCCAACACGAAGCCTAACCCTAACCCCAATCCTAACCCTAACCCCAACTCCAACCCTAACCCCAACCCCAAACTCAACCCTAACCCGAACCCTAACCCCTAACCCTAACCTTACCACCAGAATGAACCAGAGCTGCTGCTCGGGGTCCAGGACTGCGCCTCCACCCCTCGACATGATTCACTTTCCCACCATTCCTCATGCCATGTCTACCCCAGGTAGGGACTTTGGGGACCCAAGGGCCACTGGCCCAGGCATGGCCACCTTACGGTCCCCCCTCTCTGACCATTTGAGGACCCATTCCTGAGAGGCCCCCCATTTCCCATGAACTCTGACCTCCCTGATTCACAGGGCCCCCATCCTGGGCAGGCCCGAGGGACCCCCCACTTGGGGTTTCCTGAGGCCAGCACAGAAGCCCAGACCCTGCTTCCCAGCCTCCCTGTCCCCCACCCGTCCTCCTGCCTGGGGTGGGGGCAGGTGACGGGGTGAGTCACCCTTGGGACCTGCGCTCATGCCAGGGCTCTTCCTGTCCATTTATGGGAGAAATCAGGCTGCGCAGGGAGGGGAAGAGACTGCAGGCTACTTAGTTGTGGAGCGGCTTCCAGCACTAGAGGAGGCCGCCCAGATTCGGGGGAGACCCAGAGCACCCTACAGCTCTCCCCCTTCGGGTCACCTGGTCTAAACCGACCCCTGACCTCCACATCAGCAACAGTGGGCGTCCACAGACCAGGCCCCTTCCCTCCCTCCCTCCACACCCCACTCGGTGGCCGGGAGCAGGACACGTTTTTCATCTGGGTCAACAAGCTTTATTGTGGGGGCCAGGGGCGTGGGGAAGGGATAGATGGGGAGGGTGGGGGCCAGAGGGGCAGGAGGCTGCAGGGCAGAGGGGCAGCTGTGTCCCTGCCTCCAGCAGGAGAGGCCAGGCCTCAGCGCGTGGTCTGGTGCACCTGCTCGTGGGAGGAGATGACCTTGCCATCCTGCACCTCTTCCACGATGGTGCGCACCTGGCGGGTGGTCACAGCTGCAGGACAGACAGATGGAACCCGGCGTTGGCCACATGCATCCCTCCTGCCCTCACTCCACCCCCCGTGTCCAGGGGGGTCTCTGAGTCGCAGTGGGGCTGTGCAGGCTGGATCCCCCTCCCCAGTCTCCAGGGCATGGACCACTCTCCCCGCTCCCCTGCCAGCCTGGGATCTGCAGGGTGGAACCAAGGTCCCATCAGCCCCATTAGATGAGGAACCCCAGGGATCTGGAGGGCAAGGACAGTGTTCCCATCTCCCTCCAGCTGGAATCCCAAGGCAGGGCTACTCTTCCCCTCTGTAGGGTCCCAAGTGCAGGGACCATGGGGCCGTGTCCACATCTCCCCATCAGATGAGTGTCTGGGGCTAGGACCACGGCCCACAGACCACCATCTCGAGGTGAGGGCCGGCGCCCTGCCCACCTCGTCAGACCGCCTCTGCCCTGATCCTTATGCCAGGCATCGCCCAGCCCTGATGCTCCATCTGGCCCATGAGGACAGCCATCATTCCCTACAGCCCCTTGGGGACCCCCCCACCCCAGGCTGCAGGTGGGTTTCCTGCGCAGCGTGCTCCCGGCCCTCAGCCACCAAGGTCCTTACGTTCTTTAGGCTTGTACTGAGTCAGGCTGCGGGAGAGAAACAGATGGACAGGTGATCAGAAGTGGGTCTGAGAGCCCCTCGCCCACCCCAGCGGACCCCAGCCCTGGCCCCCCACTCACTGGGCGTCCTCGCCCTCCAGCAGGCGGCGGTAGGTGGCAATCTCCTGCTCCAGCCGCGTCTTCACGTCCAGCAGGATCTTGTACTCCTGGTTCTGCTGCTCCATCTCGCAGCGCAGCTGGGCCAGCTGCTCCTCCACGCTGCCGATCAGGCCCTGGATCTGCGACAGCTGCACGCAGTAGCGGTTCTCTGTCTCCGCCAGGCTGCCCTCCAGGGATGCTTTCTGCAGGAGGAGGGCCAACGGGTGGTCAGTGAGGGTGGCAGTGCCTACTTCCGGGCCCTGGGCCCACCACGCCCGGGCACAGCCTCTCGCCCACCATGCTGAGCTGGGACTGAAGCTCAATCTCCAGGGCCTGCATGGTGCGCCGGAGCTCGGAGATCTCGCTCTTGCCGCTCTGAACCAGCTCGCTGTTGGTGGCCACCTCACGATTCAGCTCCTCGGTCTGCAGAGGGGTCCGGGGAGAATGAGCCTGGGGCCTCCACAGCCAGCCCGGGCTCCCCGCCAGCCTGGCCACACCACCTTCAAGACTTCCAGCCTCCTCCCAAAGCTGCACCTTCCCCTGCCTCCACTTCCCAAGCCCAGGAATTTGCTCTTCGCAACACTGCATTTGGATTGTTAATTCCTGCGGGTGGGAGGCAGGAACCGGAAATGTGAGAACCAGCTGGGACATGCAGCCTGGCCCTGGTGCTGATTCCAGAGTCCCTGGAAGAGCTGGAAACTCCCTCCAGAGTCTTCGCCTTCTGTCTGCATCCTGGGGGGCTCCCCACCTTCCCACCCTGCCCCAGGTCCCAGCTCTGCGGGTGCAATGGTGGCCCTCGTCCCCCAAGTCCGGGGGCCCACAGGGCATGGGACCCCTCTACGAGGCCAGGCAGCAGGCCCCACCTTGCTGAAGAACCAGTCCTCTGCATCCTTGCGGTTCTTCTCCGCCATCTTCTCGTACTGGTCGCGCATCTCGTTCAGGATGCGGCTCAGGTCCACGCCGGGGGCTGCGTCCATCTCCACGTTGATCTCGCCACCCACCTGCCCGCGCAGGGCGTTCATTTCCTGTGGAAGCAAGCAATGGGGGAGTGGGCATCCGGGCCGGACCCCAGCCCCTCCCTCCGACCCTGCTCAGGGATTCCAGGCACCTGCTGTGTTTGGGCCCTGCCTCCACCGTCAGACCTGGCCCCCTCATTCAGCCAATCTAATTCCTAGACCTTTGCTCCCCCAAACTGCTCCTCTATCTAATTTCCAAGCAACTGTGTGGGGTTCAGACGGGAGGGCTGCAGCAGGGTGACTAACCCAGGTCCTGCTAGGTGTCTCCCACAGCCCTAACTGCAGCCCCGCCCCCGGCGTCTCTGCCCACTGCTTGGCCTTGCTGACCCAATGCCCTGGCCACCCCACCTCCTCGTGGTTCCTCTTCAGGTAGGCCAGCTCCTCGGTCAGGTTCTCAATCTGCATCTCCAGGTCGCCCCTGGCCAGGGTCAGCTCGTCCAGCACCCTGCGCAGCCCGTTGATGTCGGCCTCCACGCTCATGCGCAGGGCCTGCTCCGTCTCGAACCTGCAAAGGGAACCAGGGCTCATCCAGGCTGCTAGGGCTGCAGGTCAAGGTCCCCGCTGGCCCTGCCCTCCTCTGCTAGGGTTCCCAGCACTCATGTGGGAGGCTGGAGGGGACAGCAGAAGCAACACCACTCCTGTGCTGGGAGCATCGCAAGACAGGGCCCCGCCCCCAGCTGGCTCCCCTCCCCTCTCTCCTCTGCCCTTCAGAACTTGCTGCATGGGCTCCTCTTGGACCAACAGTGGGCTCGGCTGCAGGACGCCCCCCCGTATCCTGCACCCAGCCCCCTGCACAGGGCAGTCCCGGGGCCAGGGTCCCCCCAGCCCACACTCACTTGGTGTGGAAGTCATCCGCAGCCAGCCGGGCATTGTCGATCTGCAGCAGGACATTGGCATTTTCCACACTGGCCACCAGAATCTGGAGAGACGGTGAGCAAAGAGGTCCGCGCTCAGGAAGGGGCTGAGCCCTGACCCGGGTCCTGAGCCGGGTTCCTGCCTGTGGCCAAGGCGTGCCCCCTCTCCCCCACCTGCTGCCGCTGCAGTCTGAGAGGCTGGAGACACCTTCTGCCCTGTCCCCAGACCCCGTCTAGGCTCAGCCTGGAAGTAGAGGTGCACGAATAGGGAGGTGGGGTTTACCTGGGGTGAGGAGGATGCACCAGGGCAGGAGCTGCACCAGGCAGGACTCTAGGGAGCCCCATTGGACAGTGGACACATGGGTCCCCTGAGTGCCCCTAAGGTGGCCAGAGAAGCCCTCTCCCGCAGTAGCTCCAAATCAGAAGTCGGGACCCCGCTGAGCCCAAACCCTGGGCTCCAGTCAGCAGCCACGCCCCCCCGGTCTGCCGGGCCCATCCTAAGGGGCAGGAGGAGGAACCCAAAGGCAGGAGAACCCCTGAAAAGCCCATCAGAGGTCTGGCCCACTTCGAAGTCCGGCCTCTCCTCCCACAGATGCCACATGCAGCCCCTGACCCCACTGTCACTCAACTCCCCCTGCTGCAGAGGAAAGGGAGCCACACAGCCCACTCCCCACGTGGCCTCGTGCCTTAACCCAAGGCCACACACAGTGACAGGAAGCAGGCTGCCAAGGAGACGGAAGCTCTAGGGGCTCCCTGGGCTGCTGTCCCTGGCCCAGCCTGCAGCCCCCACAAAGGGGCCATGTGGGCCCTAGAGGGTCCCCATGCCCAGAGCTGAGCCACCAGGTGCCCCCTGCAGCCCGGGCGTCCCCAGGCTGGGCTTCCTCAAGGGCAGAGGTGGGGAGAAGTCACATCCCCTCGCGCCAGGCAGCGGGCCCACCTTGCTCTTCAGGTCCTCGATGGCCTTGTAGTAGGGGCCGTAGTCTCGGACGGGCCCGGGGGCCTGCCTCTGGTACCAGTCGCGGATCTTCACCTCCAGCTCCGCATTGGCCTGCTCCAGGGCGCGCACCTTGTCCAGGTACGAAGCCAGGCGGTCGTTAAGGTTCTGCATGGTGGCCTTCTCACCTCCGGCCAGCAGCCCTTCGACGCCCCCGAAGCTGCCCCCATAGCCACTGCCAGAGCCGAAGCTGTAGCAGCTGGAGTAGCTGCTGCCACCCCCGAGGCTGCTGCCCAGGCCGCTGGCCGAGCCCAGCCTGCAGGAGCCACCGCCCAGGCTGCCAGAGAGGCGGCAGGAGGCGCGGGACGAGCCCCCGAGGCCGGAGGAGCCCTTGATGGAGCTGGAGGAGGTGAACTGCCGGATGGTGGTGGTCATGGCAGCGGGTGAGGAGCCCGAGGAGGAGACAGAAGCGCCAAGGTGCTGAGGCTGCTGGGACTCACGGGCCCTTTATAGGCCGCCGAGTGGGCGTGGGGTTACAACAGACTCGTGCTCTGTTTCCATTCCCCTGGGCTTTCATCACCGCTGGCCGCCCGCCAGCTCCCAGGTGGCTGTGGGCCCCCCCACATGGGGGCTCGGCCTGGTTTCTGCGAAGCGTGTGCGTGTGCGTGTGTTCATGTGCGGGGTCCTGTGATTCAGGCAGGCCCTGCAGCTACGCTTTCCCATGACCTAATACGGACAGGACGGGAAGCCAGGACGCCACGGTCACCAGGCCCTCCCAGGCAGCTGCCACAATGGGGAAACGGGGTGCGGCGTCAGGCAGCTCCCCGAGGCGGCTGGGTGACGTGTCCCCACAGAGGCAGGCCCGCATCCTGCCCCTCACCACGCCCCAACCCATCATTCCAGGCCCCTTCTGTGGTCCCCAGGGACACAGGCCTGGGGCTGAGGCTCCCCCTGGACAGCTGTGACGCTGCCCACCCGAGGTCCCTGGGAACCCTGGCTCCTCTCCTAACCCTAACCCTTCTGCACGCCTCCTCCAGGGGGCTGCCGGGGGGGGGGGCAGAGAGATGGGGTCTCGTGGTCGGAGGGGGCCTGCAGGAGCTGAGGGCCGCATCCCTTCCACGCTCCTGCCCCCTGCGCCCCAGGGGTAAGGTGAGGGGCACACATGTCAGGTCCCAGCCGATGGGAAACCTGAGGACAAGCCCAGAGGAGCCTGCGCCTCCCGGGGTCCCCAGCCGGCCCCGTCCCCGGATCCCAGCAGCCCCGCTGGGTAGAATGCGCTTGTGTTTCCACTGCGGAGGGCTCCGCCTCCCAGACAGGCCCGGACAGCCGCCGAGATTCCCCAGGCGCGGGAGCTGCCAAGCCGCTCAGGCAAACGGGACGCCCCCACGCACACGCACGCTCACGCACGCAGCGGCCGCCCCGCCTCACACACCCCCGCCGGCCGCCAGGCAGAGCCGGTCTGGTTTCCGGGCCGCATCACTGCCGCCCACCGGTCTCCATGGGCTCCCGACCCCTCCCTGGGAGAGGCCCCTGCCCAGCCTTGTCTCTCCGCTCCCCTCGGAGCCGCCCTGAGCTCGGCAGCAGCCCCTATGACAGGCGTGGTCCAGGGCCCAGCCACAGGAAACCCGGATCCGGGCCTGATTCTTAGAAACATCCCGTCCTGGCCTCCGCCCACGGTCCTTCCGCTTCCTCCCTCCGCTTCCCAGTCGACACCAAGCCATCAGCAGCCTCTCCCGTCCTCAGCCCACATCGCCCCCAGCAGTGACCAGGCCGGGGCACAGCTTCGGGATGCAGCTTGCAAAGCTTCAATAGCCCTGCCAGGGACCAGGAGGCCCTCGGTGAGGGGCTGCAGGGAGCGGTGCAGACAGCAACAGCTCTGGGGGGCCGGGCGGCACCCAGGACTCGGTGGTGGCTCGCCGGCTGTCGCCAGAGGCCGTGGCTAGCCGAGGCCTCAGTGGGTGGAGCAATGCACCTGCTCGCGGGAGGACACTGCCTCGCCTTGCCGTCCTAGACCTCCTCCACGATGGTGCGCACCTGGCGGCTGGTCGCCGTGGCCGAGCGTGGAGGAAGGCACGGGGAGTCAGGCCCAGCCCCTCCCTCTGCGCCCCATCCCAGGCCCCCAGGCAGCACAGGGCCCGGCCGGCCGACTGGGGGCCAGGGAGGAGGAGTACTGAGCGGCCAGGCTGCGGGGAGAGGGCCCGTCAGCCCGGGCTGCCGAGGTGCAGCAGCTGGGGAGCCCAGGGGGATGAGAGCAGGCCCAGGTCAGAGGGCACGGTGCGGGGTGCGGCGGGAGGGAGGAAACACACGGCCCGCAGGTGCTTGTGCTGCCGTGGCCGCCAACCGTGCTTGACAAGGGGCTGGAAGGAGCGCTTTCCCGAGTCCCGAAGGGCCCAACACACAGGCTCCCTAATGCAGCCTCGGAGGGACGGTGCGACTCGGCCCGGGACAGCTCCTCTCGCGCCCCACTCCAGCCGGTCCTGCTCCCGGGTCTCCACGCCTCGTCCCAACCAGAAACCTGGTCATTGCCGCCCACGCCCGCAGCGCCGCTGCCTCTGAGCCATGCTGTCCTGAGCTCTGCCTCCCGCCCCTGCCCCAGCCCCACAGCAGGGCTCCTGCGGTCGCTCCCGCGCTCCCCTCCTCATGTCTCTGCAGCCACCCACCCCCTCTAACCATCCTGCTCCTCTTCTGCTCCAAATCCTTCCATGGCTCCCTGTTGCCTGCGCAACCTGGTCCAGCTGGCATCTGAGGCTCCTTCCCCATTCTCTGCCCATCCTAACACCAGGCAAACCTCTGCCCACCCCAGCGGGCACCCGGGGCCACTCACTGGGCATCCTCGCCCTCCAGCAGGTGGCGGTAGGTGGCGATCTCCTGCTTCAGCCGCGTCTTCACGTCCAGCAGCACCTGGTACTCCTGGTTCTGCCACTCCATGTCGCAGCGCAGCTGGGCCAGGTGGACCTTGACACCGCTGATGAGCCCCTGCAGCTGGACCAGCTGGGCCCCGTAGCACGCCTCCGTCTCCGCCAGGCTGTTCTCCAGCGATGCTTTCTGTGGCCAAGGCACCGATGGCACCGTGAGACCCAGCCAGGACCCCCCCGGCCTCCCCAGGTGGGTTGTGGGTGCCACCAGCCAAGTGGGGCCGGAACTGGGGTAGCCAGGGCTGTGCCCAATCTGTCCTTCTCCCAGGCCTGCGAGGAGGGTGTGTGGGGTGACAGGGGAAAGGGAGGGACCCACCATTCTGAGCTGGGACTGCAGCTCCATCTCCAGGTTCTGCACGGAGCGGCGCAGCTCAGAGATCTCGCTCTTACTGCTCTGCAGGGCCTCAGTGTTGGTGGCCACCTCGCAGTTCAGCTCCTCCCTCTGAGGGACAGGGTGGCGCGGGCGCTCAGCAGGCTCCCAAGGGGAGCAGAGACCGGGTGTGGGGCTGGGCCAGGCTAGGAGCACAGGCACAACCCAACGCCGCCCCAGGGGCTCAAGGCCACCGACCGTTTGTTCCGAGGCCCCTCAGGGCCTTGCGTTGGTGCCAATCTGAGGCCTGGGACCTTCCTGGCCCCACCTTGCTGAAGAACCAGGCCTCGGCCTCCCTGCGGTTCTTCTCCGCCATCTGCTCGTACTGGTCGCGCATCTCGTTCAGGATGCGGCTCAGGTCCACTCCGGGGGCTGCATCCATCTCCACACTGACGTCCCCGCCAGTCCGGCCGCTCAGGGCGTTCATTTCCTGAGCCAAGAGGACAAAGGTGCTCACCCAGGGCCACCTGGAGAGGGACCGGGACCTCAGACAGACAGACGGGTGCACGACCTGGGATGGCAGAGGTCGCGGCCCAAGCCTCGCCGACACACATGGTGACTGGCGGGTCCCCAACCCCCGTGTGTCCCAGCACAGGGAGGGTGAGGGACCCCTGTCCCCAACACGGACCCCAGGGTGGGTGGCGGCCGGGCCTCTAGCTGGGCGTCCTGCTGCATGGGAGTCAGCTCCGTTCACTGGTGCTGAGTGCAGGGACAGAACAGCCTCGAGGCCCAAGGGACCCAGCTCCCACCCGGGGCGGAGCCTTGGGAACCCAAACCACAGCTGGCTGCAACGGGAGTATGCGTACGGAGAGGTTTTGTGTCACCAAGACCCGAGGGCGGGTCCTGTGCACCTCGGGAGAAACCACAGCCTCTCTGCACCCCATTTCTTCAGGGGCAGAGCGCCTTCCTTCCAGTGCTGCTGGAATAACTGCCATGCATGTCGCAATGGCCAGCAGTCGCTGTCCTCATTAATTATAATAATTAGCATCACGCGGTTCCTGATTCACTCAGCAAGCTAACTGTGCCCCAGCCACCAGGCCTGAGCAGAGGAAGCGGCTTCGAGGCGGGGCCTGGCCTGGAGTCAGGGCCAGGGCCGGGCCAGGAGCTGCCCCTCACCTCCTCGTGGTTCCTCTTCAGGTAGGCCAGCTCCTCCGTGAGGCCCTCGATCTGCATCTCCAGGTCCGAGCAGGTCATGGTCAGCTCGTCCGGCCCCCTGCGCAGCCCGTTGATGTCGGCCTCCACGCTCTGCCGCAGGCACAGCTCATTCTCGTACCTGGAGGGGTGGCAGGGTGAGCGTGGGAAGCCGTGGACCTCACCGTTCCCTTCCCCGGGCAGCCAGGACCCAGCCCCATTTGGTGCGGACGTCATCTGCCGCCAGGCGGGCCTTGTCAATCTGCAGCACGAAGCTGGCATTGTCGATGGCAGCCGCCAGGATGTGGAGGGCGAGAGGCTCTGTGAGCCCCTCTGCAGCCTTCTGAGGGGGCAGCAGGGTGCCAGGACAGAGCCAGTCCGCCCGCTTCAGCCCACAGCCAGGCCACCTCAGCCCAGTCCCCCCGCAACTGCATGTGCCTCTGCTCACCTGCACCTCCTCCGGAAGCCCTCTGGACACCCCGCCAGATCCCCTCTCCCAACCCAGCCCTCTTTCATCGAAATTTTGTCCTGCTCCTCAGCAAGGGGCGCTTCCTGCCTCCACTGGACACTGAGCCCCCGGGAGCTAAGCTGGCCACATCCATCCGTTCCCTTTGGAATCCCCAGGCCTGGGCGCTATGCCAGGCCAAGTTGGGTCCCAGGCACATTTGTCTAATTAAGGAATTAATTGATTGGCTGATGGACTGGTGAGGTTATGCCTGGCCCCGCCTCAGACCCAGGTCAAAGGTTTCTGCTCCCATAAGGTCGGGGCGGATGAAGGTGGCAGTGGGGTCAGGAAAGAGTCGGGCTGGTTATTATCACTACTGCTGTCGCTGTGCTCACTGGAGAGGCCCTCACTGAGGGCCTTGGGGTGCAGGGAGGTGGGGCTCCCCACCTGCAGGGGTGGTGTGTGAACAGGGAGAAGCGCGCATGCTCAGGGCCAGGGCGGCAGCAGGAGCGACAGGCGCCCCGGGGTCACCCCGGCCCCCACAGGGCCCCTGCAGGCCCTAAGTTCCATGCAGCCGCCTGGCCTGGGCTGAGCCACAGCAGCTCGACACACTCCCGGGCCTCAGTGGGCCGTCTGGAGGCTGCAGGAGCTGCCAGCTGGACTCTCACAGGAGGGGGCGGCTGCTGGCCGACCCCAGAGCCCAGAGTGCTGACTCAACAGCGCTCCCTGGCCTCCCCCGCCCAGCCAGGTGCCGTATCTGATCTGGCACAGGTGCCAGGGGAAGCAGCAGGAATTCCCTGCCTGGCAGCGACCCCAGGCAGGAACAGGCAAAGCCCCTCCAGGCAGCTCCAGGCTGGGTCTCCCCGGCGGGGCGGGAGGCAGGCGTGGGTGTGCCCTCCACACTCTCCTCAGCACTCCCTGCCCCTGGGCCAGCTCCAGGACTCCCTCAACGGCCCTGCTGAAGACCAATGCCACCCGTGTCCAAGTCAGGACATTGTCCAAGAGGGGCCGGGGTCTCCTCCCTCAGACTAACTTCCGGTTCCAGCAGGAAACACAGCTCCTGACCTCAGAGTGGACATCTGGAGAGAAATCAGTATGGCACACAGGGCTTAGTGTCCAGGAGACCCCGGGACCAGGCTTAGAAGGCAAGGACCGCAGATCCAGAGGGCTGTGGGCCTCTCCCACGGCCACGCCTGCAGTCCGCAGCCCCCTCCTCAGCTGCCCCCTGCCCCCTGCCCCCTGCAGCCTCCACCCCAGTCCTCCACCCCCACCCTTTCCAGCCCGGCACAGGGCTGGGTCCTCAGCAAGGGTGGGAGGGAGGCAGAAGAGGGGAAGGACGGTGCCCACCTTGCTGCGCAGGTCCTGGATGATCTTGAAGTAGTGGCTGTAGTCGCAGGCCAGGCCAGAGCTCTGCCTCTGGTACCAGTCTCGGATCTTCACCTCCAGGTTGGCGTTGGCCGCCTCCAGCGCACGCACCTTGTCCAGGTAGGAGGCCAGGCAGTCACTGAGGTTTTGCATGGTCACCTTCTCGCTGCCTCCCAGCAGCACATCCAACACCCCGGAGCCGGAGCCCCCACCCAGGCTGCAGGCGTAGCTGCCACCCCGCAAGCCGGCCAAGAAGCAGGAGGAAGTGACCGACAGGCCGCCACCCCCACAGGCTCCCAGGAGGCTGGGGGCCAGACAGGCACCCCGGCGCAGACCGAGGACACCCGGGAGAAGCCCCTGCCAGGCACACATAGGCCCTGCATGGAGCCACAGGTGGAGAACTGGCGGATGCAGATGCTGGTGGTGGTAGCCATGGTGTCCACCGTCAGGCGCAGGGTCTGTCCGGACAGGGACCCTGGGCCACCTTTATAGCCAGGCTGGGGGGCAGCTGGTCCTCCAGCCTTGAAGTCTGAGCCAAAACCCCACTGTGTAATTTGCCTGGTGCTGCCCGCCCAGGGCCTGGGGCTCCAGCTGGCCAAGGTGAGCACCCCAGGCCCCATCGTGGCTCAGGGGTCCATTGTTTGTTCAGAACAAAGGTGGTGCTGAGCCCCAGCCCCTGGCTAGAGTGATCCTCTGTCCTCAGCTGCTGCAATTAGGCGCTGAGCTCATCCTGGGGGCCAGAGAGGGCCTGGCAAGGCTGCACAGGCCTAAGCCCTGCTGCGCTGGCCTTTGCCCGCACTGTGGCCCAGCAGAGGCAGAGAGGCTGCTGCCTGCACCCTCGCCCACAAACTGGCCCAGACAGAGCCCAGCCACACCCCAGGAGCCCCCAGCTCTCTAACTCAGCCGGGGAACAGGCATGGCCAAGGACCCCAGGAGCCAGGAAGGCAGGGCGAGAGCCTCAGTCTCCCCATTTATTAAACAGGGTGAAGCCAGGCGCAGGCGTGGCTGCCTGAGATCCTGCCACTCTGGGAAGCTGAGACAGGAAGAGGGCAAATTCATACCCAGCCTGGGCAACTCAGCGAGAGCCCGGCTCAAAATAAAAGAGATACAAGGGCCGGGGGTGTAGCTCTGTGCAAAGGCCCTGGGTTCCATCACCACAAAAATAAATAAAATTTTTTACTTCTATTACTGCAAGTTTGCATAATTATGTAATTCCTGTCCCTCAGGACTTCGGGAGCCTCAGGAGGGACAGCAAGCCAATCACTCTGACAGAGCGTGAGGGGAGGACAGGTGGGGAGCGGGGTCTGCACACACACACACACACACACACACACACACACACACACCCGCACTGCCTGCAGCCCGGGGTCCCAGAGCAGGACCTGGTGGGAAGCGGAAGCGGAGCCAGGGCCCAGAAGGCAGAGGCAGGCCTCACCCGGCGGGGAACCAGCGCCACCCCCTCCTGCCGGCCACGCCCGCTCCACCCAGAGGGAGATTAGTGCCTAATCACGGTGGCGCTAATGGTTTAGGCACAGCCAGGGCTGGCGCCTGCCCCGGGACTCCCAGATGAGGAGCCTCCAGGGTGGCCGGGCCCCAGGGACAGGGACGGGGCGAGGCAGGAGGCGCCTGGGTGGGCCGGGCGCGATGCCCGCGTGGCGACAGGGAGCGGGGAGGGTATCGAGGTTCCCACGAGGCGGCCTGAGCTCCAGCAGGAGGAGAGGGGCTTCCTGCTCCACGCAGGGGACCGGCCGGGGCTGGCTGGGGGGGGGGTCCCTGCCGCCAGGGCCGGAAGTCCAGGCCCTCCCAAGACCGGCAGTAGGAAGGACTTCCGGCCACCTGCACGTCTCGGGCTGAGGGGACCCTGTAGACCCGGGGTCCCCGAGAGGGGCCAAGGAGGGACACAGAGAGACCCCGTATGCCCTGCCTGAGCCCCTCAAGTTCCTGCCCCGACATCAGGCCGCCTGTGTGTTGGGCCCGCTCCCGGTTTCTCCCCTTTGCCCCGCCCTCGGGAAGCCCCTCCTGGAGGGCTGGCAGCCCTGGGCTGGGAGGCCCTGCTCACCTCCCTCGGATCACCAGGGCGGTGCGGGGAACAGGCGAGCGTGGGAGCCCCCGCCCCGGAGCAGAAGCCCCTGGCAGGATGAGGAAGGAGCAAGGGACCCGCGAGGTGGCCCCAGGGAGCGGGGAGCCCACCCAGCACTCTGCGCCTCCCCACAGGCTCCTCCAGCTTGGAGACTCGGGGCCTATGAGGCGCGTGGGTGGACCCTGGGTGGCACAGACACCTGGCTGGGATGTCAGTCCTTCCCAGCAGGGCTACAGCCCTGACACGGACTCTGCCCTTCACCCGCCTCTCCCTCTCTCTCTCTCCCCACTTCCCATCGTCCCTGCCTTCCTGAGGGACTTTGGTGAAAGGGCAAGAAGCCAGCAGCCCACGTGTGCTTCCCACCTCCCCACTCTGCCCTGGGGACAGCGGGGGGCCTGAGACACTGGGGCTCCGGGCTCTGCCCCCCGGGCTCCCTCTGCTCTTTACTCTCTGTCTGCGCTTTAACGGTTCAAGTGGCTTCCTCTGGGGCAGTGTGGCCAGTGCTCCCCGGGGGCCCCTGCTCAGGGTGGCAGCTGGGCCTTGCTTCTCCTGCCCAAGCTCCCCAGGTCCTGGTGGGCCCGGGACCCCCCCTCGGCCACAACGCCTGAGGGAGCAAGGGACCCTGGTCCCGGCCCAGGATGGACACCCAGCCAGACAGAGTGGCGGGTGGACACAGGGCCGGACCAGGGCAGGAGGGGCATCGCCATCCAAATGGCCGGGGTCTCCCGGCATTGAAAAGCGAAATCTCGGGCCAAGGATGTAGCTCAGTGGTTCCGCCGCGGGAAGCCGAGTGGGGGAATCTGCCCAGTGTCCAGGGCCGCTGTCACCCGGACCCCCAGGGCCCGACGACCACCTGGGACACAGGCTTTGCCAGTCCTGGAAGGAGGTGGCACCCACCCCAGCTGCTTTGTGCTGACGGGGACCTTCGGGTGTCCACCGTGGTGATGGGGCACCCCGGCGTGGTGGTGCACACCTGTTGTCCCAGCACCCGAGAGGCTGAGGCAGGAGGATTACCGCAAGTCAGAGGCCAGCCTGGGCTCCATAGTGAGACTCCGTCTCAGAAAACTAAGCGAAGAAGCAGCCAAGTGATGGAGGATGTGTGCACACTGTTGGTGCAAACCATGCCCCTGCGTGTGAAGTGATCTCCAATGCTCCCTCCAGGCTGGCGGAGCGGCTCAGGCGCCTCTCAGACTGCTGCAGTTTTTCCTGAAAGTGTGATTCTAAAATCCCAAGCTCCCTGTCTCGGTTCTGCCTCATGTTTTTAACTGCTTCTATCATGAAGCGGGGAATGGTGGCCCAAGCCTGTCATCCCAACACCCCGGAGGCTGAGGCAGGAGGGTTGCTGTGCATTCAAGACAAGGCTGGGATACACAGCTGCGACCCTGTCTCAAAAAACAAACAAAAGTGGCCTGGGATTTAGCTCAGTGATGCTGCCGCCTGCTTTGCAAGCGCAAGGACTCGAGTTCGATCACCAGTACAAAAAAAAAATTGTACTGCGCTGAGACAGGGTCACAGGAAGGTGCTGGGTGTGGCGCAGCACCCAGAGACTGTCACGCGGGGGCCATGACAGCCATCAGGACAGGACTGGGCCAGGGTGGGGCCTCGGCCCCCGAGCACTGAACGCACCTTCACCCCTACATCCTGCCCACAACGTCCTAGGGGAGAAACATGAGTAGCAAACTGGGATGGAAATGCAATGGGGCACTGGTACTCTGGGGCCAGTGGTGGCTTCCTCTGGGGACTCTGAGGGGGAACCGAATTAAGGAAGAAGCCCAGCTGGGGGGGGGGGGGGGCGCACGCCTGGAATCCCAGCACTCGGAGGCTGAGGCAGGAGGATCACACACTTTCAAGACCCTATCTCAAAAAAACAAAAACAAAGCAAACAAAAACAACGGCTCCTGGGCAGCCTCTGAGCCACACCCCACCCAGGCTTGCTTTCATGTGTATTTGTATAGATTTTATGTCCACAAAAGGAACATTATCCATCTCGGCAATGCCTCAGTTTACCAGTAAACAGTTTCTCTTTTAGTTTGGGGGTGGGGGGCAGATACTGGGGACTGAACCCAGGGTCTTCACACTGAGCTACGTCCCCAGCCCCTTTTTATTTTTTATCTTGAGACAGGGTCTCACTAAGTCACTAAATTGCTCCAGCTGGGCTCAAACTTGCAATCCTCCTGTCCCAGCCTCCCGAGTGCTGGGATCACAGGCATGCGCCCCTTCCCATGGGGCTGCCTCGGTTTCCTTCTGCTCCTGCGGGTGGGCTGCCATCCTTGCCCCTCTTTGCCTGGGGCCCCTGCCAGATGCCCTCCCAGGCCTGCCTGGGGCTGGAAGGTCGCACACCCTTGGTGCCCCCGCTGTTTCTCCCTCATCTCAGTCCAGGCTCTGTCTGGTGGCCCTGACATCTGGGTGGGGCAGAGTCGCCCGGGGCTGAGTGACCACCTGGGGCATCACAGGGCTCAGAGGCCGCAGGGACACTGCAGGGCAGCCAGAGGCAGCAGGATGACACTGCGCTTCCCAGGTGAGCAGGTGGCCAGGTAATGCCCCAGGTGGGAGGAGAAGCCAGAGGAGGAGGAGAGCCCAGGGCAACTGACACTGCACCTATGAGACACTCACCTGTGTGGTCAACACCTCCCCCTCCCCTGTCCCCAGGAAGGGATGCAGCAGGCCGGGCTTAATATGTAGAGTAGGAACCAATAATAGGTCCTGGGAGGCACTAGGAATAGGCTCAGGACAGGCGGGAGTTCTGTTGCGTCTGCCTGGGTGATGTCAGGAGGGGAAGGAAGCCGGGCCTGGCAGTGCCCACTCTGGGTGGTCCCAGCACTCTGGAAGGCTGAGGCAGGAGGATCTCAAGTTCCAGCCCAGCCTGGTCAATTTAGCAACTTATCGAGATCCTGTCTCAAATTTTAAAATTATAGCCAAGTGTGGTGGTGCACACCTATGATCCCAGCACTCCAGAGCCTGAAGTAGGAGGATCGCCATGAGTTCGAGGCCAGCGTGGATTACAAACTGAGACTCTGTCTCAAAAAAAAAAAATTTTAAGCTACCAAAGCACTGGAGATGTAGCTCAGTGCAAAGGCCCGGGGTTCAGTCCCAGCACCACTAAGAAACGGGGGACTGGCAACAAGGGCTTCCCCGGCCCTCGATGTCCCCAGCCGCTGGACAAGGGCCGCACCTCGGGCTGCTGACAGTGCGGCAGGAAGCCCGGCCTGTCCTGCCCTGTGCTGGGGGCCCCAGCCGAGCTGCCGAGGCCCGGACCCCGGATGCGGCCCTGGGGACCCTGCGTCCCGGGAGATCCCGGCCACACCCCAGGCTGCCTTGGGGGGCAGGACGCCCCGGGGTCCCCTGATGCCTAGG